TCGTCCAGCAGCCTGGGTCCCGCCGTTGCTGAGGAGGCGGCTGCAGTGTTCGCGGGGATCTGGGGACCGCTTGCGGTTTGGGGGCTTCTCGGTCGAGCCACTTCCTCTTGCCCAGCTGCTTCCACCAACTAGTCCTGCCATGTCCTCCAGGTGGTCCCCGGCACTGCAGGGCTCAGGAGACAAGGGACATGGTCCAGGTCTTTGAGGATGACTGCTGTCACTGCCCAGCTCCAGCAATGCAGGCTCCCGCGGGCTGCGGTCCCGGGAAGAAGAGCGTGCCCTAGGCGCTTCCTCCTCCTCTTCCTCCTCCTCCTCCTCCTCATCCTCCTCCGGAATGCTAAAAAGCTTCTTGCTGCAGAACTGCTGGAGGGGCAGCTCCAGGATCTGCTCCAAGATCTCCTCGTCACTGTCAGTCTCAGAGAAGGGCTCTAAATGGGGGAGGAGGGCAGCAGGGAAGAGAGGTCCATGGGAAAAAAGAAAGAGCTGTGACCTTTGCCCTCAGATGAGAGCAGGGGTTACAGGTAACCTCACAGCCCTCCCTTAGCTTCCTCCAAGAGGAAGGACGAGAGGTGGGGATGGGGGTGGCCCAAAGTCACTGGTGTGTCCAGGACAGAGCCAAAGACAGAATGAGGGAACACACCCAGGATATGGCTGCCCAGATGCTCAGGGCCCTGAGTGACAGGAGCAGGCAGTGCCTGTAATAGCAGAGAGGACTCCCCACTCCTTCCCCAGTAGCTCCCAACACAGGGATCTCAGGCGGCCAGGGAGCTGCATCTGGTGGGCTGAAGCCAGAGAAGGTGCCGCAAAGAGCTCCTTATCCTCCCCTTTCTTCCCAGGAGGGCAGAGGTCAATCCTGAGCCACTTCCTATCTGGGGCTCAGGACAGGGCCCAGGCCACACACCTAGAAAGTTGCTGGCACTCACTGGTGGCTGGAGCAGCTGCTGACACATGGGGTAGAGACCCCTGGAACCCCAGGTCTAGGGCCCACCAGCCTCTCCTCACCCCATTACCTTGGGCCCATTCTCCCTGACACTGATGCCAGCAACCTGCTTCTGGAAAGAGCAAGCCCTGGAACCCAGCGCCTCTTCCTCCTCTTCTTCCTCCTCCTCTTGGATGTCTGACAGATCTGAGTTTCGGCCATGGTCCCCAAGGGAGTTCACCAGACGCACCCCAAGCTCTGCCATGTCCTCCTTCTGCAAGAGGTGAGACAAACGAGGTGGTGGTAGGGGGAAGGGCAGAGAAGGACTCAGGGTGGGGCACCCTGGCAGGGTCAGCCCCAGCCAGAATGAAAGGAACCCCTTGGCAGAGGGAGAGGGTCGTGTCCCAAATGGGGGTATACACAGCGAGGGGGTGGAGGAGAAATCTGGGAAGATACAGTGGCAAAGAAATAGACAGATACGCAGCACAGACCAGAGCACAGAACCAGCAGAGGGGGCCAAGCTTTGGCTGACAGGAGGCAAGGAGGCAGGCCCGATTCTTTAGGTGGCACAGTACATCCCTAACCCCGTACCTCAGCCCTGGGCCTCAGCCCAGCCCCTGTGTCTCCTCCAAGGCTGGCCTCAGCACAGGGCACCTTCAGGGCCGGTGCCCCCTCCGTGGCGCAGGGTGCCAGGCAGGCCTCTCCCGCGGTCCCCTCAGCCTCGTCCTGGGCCAGTGAGGAAGCTGCAGGGCCAGGGGCTCCCTCCCCCACGGCTGGCTCTCTGGCCCTCCTGTCATCCGAGGTGCCCAGCACAGCTGCCCCGGCCTCCTCCTGGAACGGAAGGCACTGAGGAAGGGCCCCAGCCCCGGCCCTTCTCCCAGCCTCCACCTGCGCCCCCTGCCCAGTAGGGTACCTGGGAGCAAGGTGCTGTGGGCTCCTCTTGGGATCCTCTTGTCTCTCTGGGATGGCTTGCTGCAGGAACTCCATGGGGCTCTCTAGTTCCATGGGGCTCGGGGCATCGGAGGGGAGAGCTGGGGTCTCCGGGAACTGGAGAGGCTGGAGCAAGGGGCGGCCTGGCCTCTGAGCCTGGCCGTGGTGAGGGGCAGGAGACCCTGGCCGGCAGGCAGGCCGCAGCCAGGGCCGGGCCCACGGGAGCTGGGAGGGAGTCGGCCGACTCGCCATGGGGAGACATGGTGCGCACGGCCACCTCACTGCACACCTGCAGCAGCTGCAGCTGGGACAACTCCACCAGCACGCTGCCCGCTGTGGGTGAGGCCACCTCCATGATCTGCAGGGTAGAGGGAGCACAGGACGGGAAGGGGAAGCTGGGATGACCAAGTGTGAGGACACAAGGACCGCGGTGATTCGCACTGGCCAGGCGCCGTGCTGAGCCCTTGCCCTGCCTGTCTCATTTAATCCACCTGGCACAGGGCTTCAGTGCTAGGATGGTTTTTAGAATCCCAGTTACCGAAGCCCATGCTCTTAACTAATCTGCTACCTAGGGCCAAAATGCCAGGGGCTGGGCATCACTGTGCCAGGCTGGGGAGACTAGGCCTCAGAGCATGGCAAGGAGAGACCCACCTCCTGGTCCTAGGGTACAGATGGACAGAGTCACCAGGCCGTACCTTCTGCCCATCCGCATAAATGGCATAGCCTGTGACGCGGACGCCATTGGAGGTCCCAGCAGCATCTATGGTTACGGGGAGCCAGCTGATGATCAAGATTCCAGGAGAGGGCCCGGGCTCAATCTGCACATCCAGGGGGGCATCGGGAGGGCCTGGGGGGAAGAGACACAGACCCAGTAATGCAGGACACTCACCCCTGAAGATACCGCCCACTTTGCCACTTCCCTGGAAATGCTAATAACAGCAGTCTCTCCTTTCTCTACCCCCCAGTGCCTGGCCTACTGGGTGTTCAGTCAGTGTCCAAGCCTGCAGACCTGCTGGGAGTGTTGTGAACTGCAGGGTGGCAGTCCGCTGCTCCGGCCTCTCCCAGCCTGGTTCCCAGGATCCGCCAGGTAGGAGCTGAGCCTCCACGTGGGCCTGATAGAGTGTGCCAGGCCGCAGGTTGCAGAAGGTGGTCCAGTAGGTGCTGGGGCGGGCAGGGGGGCATTCTTCCCCGTTGAGGTAGATGGCATGAGCCAAGTTGCTATTGCCGGGCACCCAGGTGATCTCAGCAGAAGTGGCTGTCAGTCGATGGACGCGTAGCTGGGTAGGTACCACCCCGGCCCTGGCACCCATGGCCAAGCAACAGCGCAGAGGGTCAGAGCTGCCCCGGCTGGTCAGGGCCTGCACAGAAACACGGAGCGGCCCCGCCCGCAGGTCCAGGTTTTCAAGCACAGCCTTGGGGGGCGCCCCAGGTCCCAGGGCCTGACGCAGCTCCCCATTCACGCAGATCTGGTAGCCATGCAGCTCCACTCGCTCAGGAGGCGGCTCCCAGGCCAGCACCACGCTGTGGGCCAGCTGCTTGAGGACGGCCAGATGGCGGGGGTAAGGCACAGCATGGGGCTCGCCCAGGCCTTCGGGTGAGGGGCTCAGACTGAGTTCATCCCCTGCAGCCTCCTCCTCTGATCTGGGCTGGCTGCGTCCCCCGACACTCTGGTCCCCGCTACTGCTGCCACCTCCACCACCGCTCAGGAAACTCAGTTCAGGGCCTGAACTGTGGGACAAATCGGCCAGCTCCGAAGCGAGGGAGGTCAGGAGGTCATCGTCCGACACGCGCTCTACGAAATTGGAAGGAACCAGGCCCCTTCGGCCATCCATGAGCTCCCCTGGCGACGGGAGGGCAGGGAAGGGAAAGGCAGAGAGGAGGGAGAGAAAAACCAGTCCAATGAGTGCATCTTAGCCATGGTCAGTGGGTGATCTTAAGGATCTGATTCAAATCAAGGTTTGCCTGTCAGTACTTTTAAAAGACAAGAGCAGTCGAGACCTAGATTAGGGAGTTACTGTTCGTTTTCGTAAGTGTGATCACAGTACTGCGGCCATACGGCACAGGGCTCCTCATTTTTAATGTGCGCGTGAATCACCTGGAGGTTTGTTGAAATGCAGATTCTAATTCTGTCAGGTCTGGGTGAAGCTGAGATGGTGCGTTTCTATCTAGTCCGGAGGTGACACTGATGCTACAAGGATGTAGGCGGATGTCCGTGCTCTGAGGAGGTGCGTGCTGAAGTATGTTCCGGATGGGATTAGAGGCAGGCCCGGGGCCGGGAGCATGACTGGCGGTCAGTCTAGGCAGCGACCAAAGGTCAGTTCTGTCGCCTGTGCCAGCTCCCCTGAACACTTGACCACCAAGTATTGTAACATGTGCTGTTGTTTATTTGAGGGACGTCAAGGAAGGAAGGAATTGGGCACACAGCATGTCATGTCAAGTAATCTGAGAGAAGGAGAAATCCCCAGGCCCTGTTGCCCAGTCTCAATAATGGGGCATCTGCCTCAGTTGCCTGGTCTGCCCCCTGGAGAACTGCTCTGAAGCCCACCCCGTGCCTGGGCCTGATTCCTCCTCCCTACACCCAGCTGGAGTCCAGCATCAGATCTGTGCTGCCTGTCTGACCTCGATGTTGCTGGTGTTGAACACTGCCATGTGCTGTCTGCCAGCACAGAAGTGAATTCAGTCAAAATCCCGTGTCACTGTCTGTCATCTGCACTGTGCGAGGCCTTGGCCTGACCTGCAGTCAGACCAGCTGCCCCTTTCCCAGTACCCTTCCTCTCCTTCCTTTCCCAGTACCCTTCCTCTCCCCTGCCCTACAGGCTGCCAGGTCTCTGCTGCCTTGTAGGTGAGTCTGAAAAGTGACGGGGGCCGAGCCGAGCATGCTGGGGAGAGGGTATGGATGGGTGGAGGTCGTTGGGAAGAAGAGCTTAAAAGCAGAGGAATGGACAGAAGGACCCCACCACCTTCCTACCTTCAAAAAAGCCATCCTCATCCATGTTGCCATAGATGTAGATATACTCGCCAGCAGTAAGCGGAAGTTCTGCCTCTGGATTCTCATTGGGGCCCTCGAAGGGGTTGTAGCTGTTGGAAGAGGCACAGAGGAGGAAGAGGAGGAGGGAGGAGGAGGAGGAGAAGGAGGGGGGGAGGAGGAAGAGGAAGAGGAGGAGGACTGTGACCTACATCCTACCTCCATATCTCATTTCCTCTCCCCACTGCCCCAGGCCTTTATGGAGACTTGGTTGTCCACCTTTAGCCAAAGAGATTGCTCACTACACCCACCTTGGCCCAACTAGGTTAAGAGCACATGTTCAACTGGGATCCCTGTACCAACCCCATCTTCCCCAGATGCCTCTGTCTTCTCCAGACCCCTTCCTCCCACCCACCCCACATGCTGGGGGGATAGGGAGCAGGGTGAGAGGCCCACCTATAGCGTGCTAGGAAGACCTGGATCCTGGCTCCTCCCCGGCTGCCCTCTGGTGCTGCTGGGAGCAGGGAGACGGTGTCTGCCTCCAGCTCCTCTACCTCACTAGCTGTGTCCACCTGGGGGGAAACAGAAAGGGCCAGTCCTCGCCATGACCCAGGGCCAATGGCCAAGCAGGCAGGTGTCCAGGCTGAGCCAGAGGAGGACCCTCTGAGAAGGGAAAAGGAGTACAAGGCCCATAGCAATGAGCCCCGCTGTTTTCTAAATCCACTCCTGAGCCAGCAGATCCTAGCAAAGCCCAGCTGCTGCAGAGAGAGGGAGTGGGGACAACCTGGGTCCCTCCTGGAGCCCTGACTTCCACAGGAAACGACCACCTTCCCCACCGGAGAGGGGGCCGGCCACACTGGCATGGGTGGGTGTCCAGTGGCAGTTGTCTCCTTAAGGTAAAAACACAGCAAAGCACTCGAATTATGAACAGGTGAAGGCAAGGAGGCAGAAGGACAAAGAAGTCCCTTTGTGCCTTTGTGAGAAGAGCACTGAGCACTGGGCATCCAAATCCAGCACCACCACTCTGTCCCACAAGGGGGCAGTAGAGGGCCGGGGCTGGGTTCTACCTCTTCCCACAACCTGGGGCCGCAGGGCGGCTCCAGCCCGCCCCTCCACGTTCTGGAGTTTGGGAGGTAGGAGGTGATTGGAAGAGTTGGGAGTGATGCCCAAGAACTCGGTGATAATAATACTGTAGCTGCCACATTGAAGTATTTAGTGTGTGCTCTGCACTGAGGGAGGCACTCGCCTTATATTTTTTTCATTTAATCCTCATCACAAACTTACAAGGCAGGTTTTATTAGCTCCAAAATCCAAACAAGGAAACCAAATCCCAGAAAGGGCCTTGCTAAGACAACACTGGGATGGGAATCGCGGAACCTGTGCTCTTTCTCACACGCCCATAGCTTCTGCTGCAGCCACTCTCATGCACAGTCTCATTATGTGGATCCTGGCGCCACGGTACCTCCCTCCGGCCAACCCAGGACTTCTCTAGGGCTTCCCTGAGCCCCAGAGGGGTGGGGCTCCAGGTAGGGCCTTCAGGGTGGCCCTGGAGACCAAGATGGCTCCTCCTTGAGTTCCCTGCGGACCAGGAGGAATCTACGGGGCCTTCTCTCCCAGGGCCTGGCTCCACTTCCCAACGTGGGACCCCTCATAGGCCAGAGGTCACCCAACTCCTGGGGACCCCACCGAGGTCAGGGCCACCTCCCCTCTCACTTTGAGGAGGCAGAGCCAGTACCCAGGCCCCTCCCCAGCACTGACCTCAGGCGTAGGGCATGACTTTGGGCTGTTGTGGATGGACTCAGAGTGAGAGGAGTTGGAGAGAGACTCTGCCTTCTTGGCTGTCCTTCGAGGGACCCCGGGAAGGGGGGCAGGGGCAGGCTCAGAAGACTTTGGGGTGCAGCGTCCTGGGGAGCCCGGCGGGAGGTCAGAGTCTAAAGAAAAGATGGCACATGGGTGGGTGTGGGGTCTGTGGCCTGAAGAGAGACCAGGGACCAAAGTCCAGCTGCTTGGATCATGGGGGTCAGGCCCGCCATAGCTGGGTTTCCTTACAAGAAGGGAAATATTTGGGAAAACCTACTGAGTAGAGTTAGAGGAACTTTACATATATTATTTCACATGATCCTCAGAGCAGCTTGATGAGGTGTACCGAGTTTTTCTTTTATTATAACTTAGGAAACCAGGGGCCCAGTGGTTTAGCAGCAAGCTCAAAATGACATGGACTATTGAGTGAACAGAGTTGGGACCCTCAGGTCTGACGCCCAACTCCCTACAAGCCCACCCTGCCTGCCATCGAGTTCTAGAGCCCAAATCCCGACCACGAACACAGAGGTCTTATTGGAGGGAAGGAGCAGTGGCCTGAGACACCTGGGCCAGACTCGGGGACAGTCACTCCAGACCTGGCTCTAACTTGCTGTGCGACTTCGGGTGAATTGCTAGCCTTCTCTGACCCTGAACTTTCTGCTCTATACAAATCCCCAAGCCTGGGGATTCCAGGCTCATGGCACTGGGAGTCTACCTTACCTTTGGGGCCGGATCCCCGGCAGGGCTGGGGGTTGGAGCAGCAGCAGGGGGGTGGTGGGCGATCCCCAAGGGTACTGCAGCCCAGGGCTGAGGTGAGCAGATCCAAGGGGCCAGGGTGCAGGCGGAAGGCCTGGAGTTCCTGTGCCAAGAGGCTGAAGCGTTCTGTTTGGCTGCGGCACTGCTCCTCGAGCTCTCGAACCCGGACCTGAGCCAAGACCTACCATGAGCCACCAGGCCCGGCAAAGCTGCCCAGTCCCAACCTGTGCCATCTCCACAGAGCCGCACACAGGCTTCAGACCACATCGCCCAGCCCCTAGGCCTGGGTATCAATCCTGGGCCTGGCTGCCCCATTGCCCTTAGTAGTGTTTAAGCTAAGGGTAAAGTGCTGGAGCTGTCAGGCATCACATGACTCTCCTCCAGAGAAGAGCTGGGCCAGCATCACACTCAGCACACCCTCTCGCCCCAGGCAGCGGCACTTCCTGCTTCTGGCTGCTTTCTAGGCCAAAAGGGATGGCTCCCATCCCATCACTACCACCAAGATCAGCTCCGGAGTTTTCCTGGCTCCACTGCTTGTCACCCTCCCACAGTCAGTGACCCAAATCCCTGCCTTCAGAGAGGTCCCCAGAGAGACCACACACGGGAGCTAGGGACATCTTGTGACAAGAACGAGCCAATTCTCAAGACCTCTTCGTCAGGTATTCTGAGAGTCACAACCTAAGGGGCCCTCCCCTGGCCAATGTCAAGAGGATCATGGGTTGGGCTGATGATGAACTTGCTCATGGGCTCAGCGGCTAGGCTTTAGAGGAGGGAAGGTCCCATGTCTGCCAGGTGTAGTAGCAGGTCTGGGACAGGGAGATGGCCCACATGTCCTGTGGGAACCTCAGCCCATCTACAGACTCTCAGGCCTGCTCCGGTCACTCTTTGCTCTGTTGAACATGAGAGTTGGGACCACTTGGGCCTGAGGGAGGAGATGCAGCTCACTGGGCCAGGGAGGTGGGAGACTGGGAGGCTGTACCTGCATGGAATCCAGGGTAGACTGTGGCAGGAAAGAAAGCACAGAGGAGAGATTAGATCCTGAGACAGTGTGTCATCACCCAGAGAGGGAGAGGGAGAGACAGGGGCCCAAGTGGACACCCTCTGGCCAGCTCCCTGGACTGACTGAGCAGTTCCTATATTGAAGGCTATTTCAAGGTGAAGGGACCTCTGGGAGGGGGGAGGAGGGACGGGGGGTAATGAGACTCCTGCCACCAGACCCTGCCTGGCTGTGCCCTAGCCTGAGAAACAGGCCAATGGTGGAGGGGATTCTCCAGGCACTAGCGTATTTAAGGGCCCTTCCTGCAACCCCACACCCCACACAGTCCCCTCCAGCTCTCCCTGAACTTCCCCTGCCTCCCCCGCAGCTGGTGTTGCTGGTGGCCACCTCCAGGGACTTACCTCCAGCAGCTGCACGGCCCCTTCATGTTCCCTCTTAGCTTCTGCCTGGGCCTACAGGTGGGAGGAGGCAAAATGCTGGAGGGGAAGGACGAGGAATGGGGGTGGGACAGAGGGAGATGGAAGGGAGGGTAGGGAGGATGGAGGGCAGAAAGAGGTGGAAGGAAGGGGAGACGCAGAAGGAAGGGGGGCTGAGGGTTCCTCTCTTTCAGACTCCTAACCCTGAGCCATACCTTAGGCCGGAAGGCAATTGGGTCAAGGAGAGGTGGGCCTGATGCTGTCTCTCTTTCCGGGGCATCCACCCTCCAGTTTCCCTCCTATCTCTCTGGGAGCTCCTTCTCAGTCTCTTTCTCCTGCTCCCCTTTTGAATGTTGGGGTGCTATGAGCCCACTTTATACTTTTTACTCTCTCCCAAGAGGCCCCTCTAGTCAAATGACTAGACACACTAATGACCCCAAAACTACCTTTAAGACCACCTTCCCCATGACTCCAGACTCATTGATCCAACTGTCTATGAGCATCTCCACTTGAATGTTTAACACACAACCCAAACTTGGCCAAGACAGAACTCAGAACTCAGGACTCCCTGCCTGTCAGGTCCTGGGGAGTGAAAGCCCCACCCTTTATCAGGGTTTACTCAGCAAACGGGTAACAGAGTGGAGACTGTCATTGTACGACTGGAATCCGTGGAGTCTTGTTGATTCTATCTCAAAATACACTTCAAATGCATCCACTTGTTTCCACCTTCACTGCCTGTTCCGTAGTCTAGATGGCCACTATCTCCCACCTGGACCCCTGCAACAGCCCCAACACCTGATGGCCCCGCTCCATGCCCACTCCCCCAGCCCATCTTCCACGGCGCTGCCAATGTCACTTTCTAAAATGATGAAGTCACATCATGCTGCTCCCTATTGGGGACCTTTCAATAGCTTCCAACCACTCAGAGAGCAAAATATCCAAACTCCTTCAACAGCCTTGAATGCTCAAGGTGATCTGGCTCCTGCCTGCCCCTGCTGTTCTGTCCCTCCAACTACGTTCCAGCCACTCTGGTCTGGATCCCAACCTCTTTCCCACAACAGGGCATTGGCACTTCTGGTCCCCTACCTGGAGTGCTCTTCAGCTGGCTCCTTCGTGACCTGGAGGTATTAAAACCTCCCCTGCTGACCTAAAGTGGTCCCTCAGTCACTCAGTCACATAACCCTACCCACCTCCCCCACTGGGATCATCTCAATCACAGATCAGCTTATTTGCTGATTGGTCAGGGACATGGTCTTTGCCCACTGTCCCCCAGCACCTGGCACATAGTGGGTGCTCACTAAATGCTTGTTGGATGTGGATGACTAGGCTGAGGTCTAGCAACCTCCCACTCTTCCAGCACTCTGCCCCCTCAACACCCTGTCCCCACCTGCTGCAGCCTCCGGACCTCCTCCTGCTTCTCCTGAAGGCTGAGCTGAGCCTGCTCATGCTCCAACTCCAGCTGCTGCCGCCGCTGGGCCACCTCCCGCATGTGCTGGAATACAAGACCCTGTGTCAAGGCCAGAGATCCACCACCATTTCTGTAAGGATCTAAGATGAGGGGGGCTCAGATAACATGTGTTCCAGATACCCTCTAAGGCTACAAAAGGAAAGGGGCTCGTGGCTCCAAGACTGGGCCTGAGACCCCAGTGCCCCACAAAGGGCACATTCTACTGTCCCACTGTCCTCTCTGTGCCAGGTACCAATACGCTCCCCTCCTCCCCCGCCAACGCAGCCCTCTCACCTTCAGCACCTGCTCCAGGCTCTCCAGCTTGCTCTGCAGGCCCTGGCTCTTGCGAAGGGCCAAGTCCCTCTCCTGTGTCACACCCAGGAGCTGGTCCCTCAGCTCTGCATTCTCCCACTCCACCTGGAGAGGGGGGAGTGGCAGGGAGCTGGGTGTGTGTGTGAGCCTTGTCCCACCAGCTCCTTCACCGGGGAGAACAGTACCCTTCCTACTCCAGTCCCGTTCCAGGTGTGGAGGAGACAGCCCCTTGCCAGGGGCCAGGGCCCTCGCAGGATCCCAAGCCACACAACACCTGCGTGGAGTGGCTACCTGGTCCTTCTCCGTGGCTCTCCCACTGAGCCGGGAGTTCTCATCCACGAGGCGGGCATTCTCATTCTGGGCTTCTCTCAGCTGCAATTCCTGAGAGACCAGAGGAGCTCTGGGGAGGGAGCCTGGCACCCACATCCCTCCCCTCTCCACACAGAGGACCATGCCCTCCCAGTCCGGGCCTTCCTCCACAC